ATTTTATCATATGATATACAACTGCTGAAATACTCTATAAACTTGCAATATGAGCGTAAGTGAAATGTTTAAATGCTTGTAATTCAGTAATGTGAGCTAGAGGCAGTGGTACGGCTTCCAAATAGAGTTTAACAAAGTTTTTTGCCCAAAGATTTTGTTTATGGAAACTAACATTCTTGTGCTTTGTATGGATCTTCTTCTGTTTTAATATTGTGGTAAATGTAAATCTGACTTCCTGAAACTAGAAGCAGCACACCAGATCTGTTTGGTTTTGGTTATATTTTAACCTAAATTAGATATTTGAAAATTAAGTAAAGTTTCATATAAAGACTTTTTCCTTTCCATACAACAGCATATTTCTTTTGTTAACAACTTGTGTATGTTGCACATGTATGTAGAAATTGCAAGTTTTGAAACTCTGAACTGGCTACCTCTTAAATCTGGATATAAATCTTGTTCTCTTATTTTCAGATGTGTCTAAATCTGATTGTTTCCTCAGTTGTGCTAAAAGAGAAAGGATCTAGAAGAATGACAAAATGTTTCATGTAGGTAGAAAAGAAGCTCTGTGCAAGTCTAAACTCGGTGCATTCCTACAGAAATGGAAAGTATATAATAAATTAACTCAATTTTACTAAAAGAAGAAATAACGTTCAAAACTTGGAAGACGATGTGTGGTGTGTTGAAAACATGCTTTAGGTAAGACATATTACTATTATCTCCATTCCAGCATGAAACTGTCGGTGATTTATGTATTAGTGAGAACATAAACTGAGCCATGACGCCTGCCAGACTTGTATATTTGTTTGCTTACCATTAAACCACATAAGGTAAATGTGAAGAGAGAGAAAAATTAGTACATTGTAGATTGCTGAAAAGCTTCGGAATATGAAACTGTATTTATTAAATTGTCTTAATAGTTTTGTGGCTTGTTCACAATGCAGTTTTTTCTGCATTCAATATTGGTCATAGGCTGGTTGTGTGTTGTGTATATTTTCATGTGTGCATGTGTTCTGAACAACCCTTTATTGTGTGATTTCAGAGAAAGTTATTACTACCTTCTAAACCTTCAGTGTAGAGTAATGGGGATGAGGTACAGGAAATGGTGGCATAATTATTGGATTGTATGACATCAAGTTTGTTTCTTTAACAGCAAAGAGGAAGTAAGCGTACTTGACTGTGCTGACCCCTTCCACATCTCCCTCAAGCTGTTAATATTTCCTACTCCATCATGGTTCCTTGTACTCCACTCCATTCATCTGGCCAGTCTGTTTACAGTGATTATCTTTGCTACCAACGAGCATTTTGGGCTCACTGATAGGCTGTATGGTGAATACATGGAATGCAACAATAGATTGGGGGGGGGGGGGGGCGGGTTCCGCAAAATAATATTTTATCCATCATTGATGAAACTAGTTTCTATGAACACAGTGTATTGCTGAAAATTAAAATCTGAAACTGCACATTATGGGTATGGTGTGGTAGAGTACACTGTAGTCGTTGTAGATATTATATATCTGAACCTCCTACCCGGATAAATGCATTTTTTTTTTTATTATTATTTGAAAAACATTGTTAACCTTGTCAGAATTTGATTACACCTAATATGTTGGCATTCCCTTTTCTTAGTGGCAGAAATAAGGGAAGCATGAGAAAACGTCTTGTGTTTAGTATTAGGTTTTGTGTGATTTCATCAATACCATCATTCTTTCTGTGCATACTGGAGAGGTTTCAAAACTACTCGGTGGATTCTAATGAATTTTGAGTTTTCAAAAACAGTTAATTGTACACAATAAATACACGACTGTCATTGTTAAGTACCGCAACTTTAATTTCAAAATTTTTAGTGTAATTAATATTGAATAAAAGAAAAATAGAATAAAAATTTACTTGGATATTATCCATCGTCTAGTAATAAAACGTAAAACGACGTTTCGGAGATGGGGCTCTATCTCCGTCTTCAGGTTCCTACTCAGTTGGGCCCACTAGATAGAGCTAATCCCTATCTCCGGACAAATTAAAAAATGAAAGTCCCAGAATAAAAAAGGCATAACCACACCATCCATCCGTGGGACGTAAAAGAATAGTATGTAGAAAACAAAATTCATAAACACGAATAAAAAAATAATTTGTCTATACAGTGTAATTATCTGTAGTGTTTAATTAATTTTGAGGCTGTATACTTTTTTTTGTAATAAATTAACATCAATGCCAGTAAGGTAAATTGGGAAAGAATTAATTTGAAGAACAGAGTGAAATTCAGATTTATTCATGTCCAGTCTTTGCTGGAACCTCCCCAGGTATAATAAGTAAGTTGATATATGGCTGAATAGTGTCAGAAGAAATTCCTTTAGGTGTAAATATGCTTGGTTTTGTATAATTCTTTCCAGATTTTGCCCCAGAATATGATACTGAATGTATGTAAAGTTGAGAAAAGAAGTGTTTTGTTCCCTCAAAGTTATGTTGTTTCATTCATTCCATTCACAAACAATACAGAATGAAAAAGCACTATAATAAACCCACAAATGCTGCAGTACAGTGGTTCCTACCAATTTTGTACATACCTATGCCAGTCCATGACCATTAAGCTATTACTGTGTAGTGCTTAATACATGTGGGAGTATTAGGATTCAAATTCTGAACATATTTATCATATATTCTCAACATTTCTGTGTAATATGAGGAATACCTTACATCATATCTTGTGTGTGTGCCAGATGTGTTAAAAACTGTCGACTTTATATTAGAATATTATTAAACTTTGAGTGGCAGAGGCCAGATTCTATGGGACCTTTATTGTTCTCACTGAAAGGTAAATTTAGTTTTTCATTTTGAATACTCTCCAAACTATAAATTATTTAAATTGAAAGTTGTTGAGCATAACGAGCTAACATCTGTCATAAAACCATTACTTTTTAGGAATTCAGTAGAATAAGAAATGCCTACTTGGTACTGTGAACACGCCTCTGAAATATATGTATATGGAAATCTCAGCAATGTTCTGTTATGTGAGTAATGTCATCAGCAGTTCACATTCTTAATTATCACGGAAAACTCATACAAAATGTAGAAATAATAATCTGAAAATTATGCAGTAATAAATTGTAATGATTTATAACTAATCTTTTGTTAATAGCAAACAGTTGTTACCACAAAGGGTATTTGGCTTCATGTGTGGTGCTGACAGTAGCAGCAGTGGCTCCACATTAATAGGATTAGGCTCGTAGATTAACTAAAATACCAAAAATATGATTTAGTTTGTGGAGCATAATTATCAGTGTTTCTCCCTAAAAATATTAAAAACAGATACAGTAAGGATATTTGGCAGGTACATTGAGGCACATCTTTTCCACCGTGGTAGGAAGTGGATAAGTTGGCAGAACATATGGTTTGTTCACCATTCAACAACCTGACGCGGCTTGTAGCCCAAGAGTATTTCATCAGCAAGTGGATAAGTTTACACTACAGCACTGGGTTTTATATGTAAATTTAATAACTGGCAAAAGTAATTATTCCCCTACTTAAAATACTATTCCGAATCTGCAAGTAGATCACTATTCTTTTCTTGTATTACATTTAAGATGGCTGTCTTCTGGGTTATAGCGCCATGTCTGATAGACGGGTGATCACCCTGATGGTGGAGACAGGAAGGACCTCTGAAACGTTGGTAAACTTCCACCAGACTAAATGGTGCTACAACCCAGAAGATAGCCATCTTTCGGTTCACTGCTGTGAAAACCTCAAATCCTACTTTTTATTAAATTATTTTTTTATTAATAATCCATCTTAAGTTAATGTTTGCCTCCACTGATATATAATATTTTTGTTCTGTTTGTTTCTCTCACGTTGTTAATGCCTTCAACACCAGATGGGTCAAAGATTCCTTTACAAGCCAGAATTCCATATTTTACCTGGTGAAAACATATCTTCATTTCCGATTGTTACAAACGTCCGTCCATTCAGCAACATATGCACGTCTCAACATTCGGATTGGTCTAGGCCAGGATGGGCCTGTCTCTCCTGTGCTGTTCAGTCTGTAATGGCATGTCTACACCGTGCCATCATGTCGAGACAGCATAGTCACCAGATGATTCGCTTCTCAGTAGTCTCATCCTGCAGTCCATTGCTGCATGTCAACTAAATGGTGACTTGCCTCTGTAGAAATGAGCACTGACTATAAAGTTGGAGGGTTGCCATCAAAAAAAAAATCACCACGATGCTGTTTGCCAATGTTACAAGACACATCCAACACCTACGGACATTTCACTTTCTCATAGAGCCAATACAGTACGGTATCTTGGTGTGACCCTTGATACACAGCTGACCAGAACGGCACGAGTCTGCCGGATAGCAAAAAAGGCAGCTCAAAGATTGGGCAACTAACGCCCCTTCGTACGTTAGTAACAGGCAGATTCACGAGGATTCCATTCTTAAGTATTAACTGAGAGCTTCGACGAAAAATTAGCTGATGTGGGGGACTTGGAGGCCAGTAGATACGATCAACGCACAACCGAGGACAAGCTCAGCAGGCTAGTACAGGAGGCCAAGCCGACAACATTTCGTGTCTAAAACTATTCGGCTACCCTGATTGAGATTCCTCGTGCTTTTCCTTGGTTGTAAGGAAAATGCCAGTGTATGTTTGAAAGGGTCACGGACAGCCAACTGTAAGCATGGAGGCCTCGCTGTGATTGTGGGTACGGCAGGAGCGAACGGTTACCGACCGGCTTTTGATACGACATAGCAGAGAGCATTTAAATCCAGAGGACCACAGAAAATATGAAACCAAGACTGTTATTTGGGAAGCAACAAACATTAATCCAGGATATAATGAATTATAATAGTGTGAAATAAATCCTTCTGGTGTTCTAAAACAAAGAAATAATTGCGTTATCACCAATTACAATATGTATTGTTAATATATGGTATATCTCAGTTCAGTGTTTACAAATTATTCTGTGGACAGAAGACTGAAAGATTCATACGTCGTTACCGAAAGGATTATAATTGTCTGTGGATTCCAAACACTGGTAGATGTAATCGATATAGGGAAATTTATCGTCATAGTAGGGAATTCCTTGTCGGCGAAGGTGAGCGACGACAGGTTGTGTTACGTATTTAATGAATTTTGAGTATAGTGTGTGGGTGAATTTAAATGGTAATACGGTGTAAGCGTGTAAAATAACAGGTTAAACAATGGCAACTACTACGCAGACTGCAAAATCGAAAGGACCGGCTCCTACTGTAGATCAGATAAATGCTGATAGAATTACGCAGGTAAGGGATCGCATTAACGTTGACGTTCTTCTTACGTTTTGATTTTTTTTAATGTAAATTCAGATATTTTAAATTCGATATGTTCTATTTCAGCTTGCAAATCGGTACTGGGCACCGTATACCATAGAAAACCATCTTCCATTTGATGACAGGGTCGTTGAAGATATATACATAAAGGAAATATATGGCTCTAAGTAAGTTTGGTTATATTATATTTAGTTGTGTAATTCTCATATGCTGTGGACGGCGACAGAATATTTTCGCGGGACCCGTGCAACCATCACTTTAATTTATTAAAGTCGTTTTTAGAGTGCAATATACCAATATGTCATAAAAGTTTAGATATAACCCACAGCCCATAAAAGTTACTTTTGGACCATCATATGAGTTGAATGGATATGCGTACTATCAACACAAGCTTTGAATTGAGGTAGGAATTTAAAAAGATGTGTCCTCATGTTGTGTTTTTCATTAAACCTGTGGTGTATTCAGTTTTTGTTGCCGCATATCCCGATAATGCTGTTTCACATAGATGAACAGCCAAAAGTAAAAGTAATTTCTTCACATGAAACACAAGGAAACTTGCTTCAGATCTGCCAAAAGTTTAACATAACATTTGTGTATTTATCGTTCAGGGAAATATCAGTAATTTCCTCATTTTATTTTACTTTTGTTCTCTGTGGCAGATATATTGTAAGTGAATTGTGTATCTACTGAAAATTTTCTACTTCAAGTGGAAAATACTTGTTAATGTGCCTTGTAGATCTTATAAATTATCAGTTACGTCTGAGAAAACTTTAATGCAGAAAAAGAATTGGCACATTTTTCAGCACACATTCTCTGAAATTATTTTATACAAGAATGACTCAGTCTTTTCACATGCTGAAGGAATTGTGCCTCGATTACAAAGAACTGGGACACTAATTTTATATACCTGTGTAAAAATGTCATCTAGTTACACCAGTCTTTGAAGCAAAATACAGCAGGTCACTGTTATTACTCACAAGTGAATGAAATGATGACAGAATTAGAAATTTTGCCAGTAACATGCCATGTATGATCCTACAGAAGAAATTAGGAAGGAGAACTAACTATAAAATGGTAACTAAACAGTAGAAGTCATCTAAAAAAAAAGAGGAAAGATTCTGTTTTGTAGTGGCCATATTAAGGCAACTGATCCTAATTTGGGATTGATGATGATAGTTATGTTATTTCCAAATTTCTTTCTCATGAATTTCAGTTTTGCAATTCGCCGTATTATGATGTTGGAGTTCAGCCAGTATTTGGAAAATTATCTGTGGCCCAATTATGTGACATTGAAGTCTTCACATGCTCACATGATGTCCATTGTGATAATGATTAATGAGAAGTTCAGGGAGAGGGTTCCAGCATGGCAGGTGAGGCTTTGTTCATAAGTCGCCATAAAAATATTTCAGTAAACTAGAGGCAGAATTCAATAAATGGTAAGTGCCGCAATTGTCTCAGAATTATACGGTATAACACGTTATATTTTATGGACTTGCTACCTTAAATTGTTTCTTCTGAATGTTAATTCTGAAAAGTTATGTAGTAAGAACAGAGTGTGAGGGTTTCAATTGTATTCTACTGGTTCTAAATAGGGAACAGCTGCAGGTCTTTGTGATTGCAGAATGATTTTTCTGGTTACATTATTTGAACAGTGTATTGATAGCACCATTAAATAAACCATAAATAAATATATTTTCAGTGTTTGTCATTTTGTATTCATATAATTTTTTTCTGAATTCTGCTTCCTGGAATGTGTCTGAGAAGGATATTTCTCCTAAATGGGAAAAACTTCCATTGACAGAATATGTACAAAATATGTCAGTAGACTACTGAGAAAAGTACTTCTTGGTAATAATATAGTTTTATGTAGCATGAAGTTTTGGTTTGTGTTTTGAATCTCAGCTACATCATGTGTGTATGCTGTTACATATATTTTTGTTTTAAATTAGAAAATCCTTCTTTTATATTATAATTATTTTTAAGAATGTGGATCAATACGTGGATTTTTGTCATTGTATTAATCCCAGTGACATTTGCTTTTCTTAGCCATTCAGGAAGCTACCAGAACATTTTCCTGGATTCTTCCAGCAAATGTTGGAAGCATGTTTAATGGATGGACCAAATTATTCTCTTCGTGAACAGACAGCACTGCTTGTGTTTCTGAACCACTGTTTCAACAGCATGGAAGTGGAACTTATCCGTGACCAAGTGAAACGACTAGTATCATTGTCTATGTGGGTCTCGTTACAGCAGGTAAATGCTTTGCACCGTAATCTAGGTATTTCTAAATTCTTGTAATTGTATGTTGAATTTTACGAGGCGCGTCCCAAAAGTAAGTTTCCCACTCGTCCCACAGCTAGCAAACCTTATATTGCGCGAAGCGACTGTGCGTACGTGATAGAGCAATGACGTAGCATGGCGCATGCACTAACGGCACCTCCCGCGTTCTCACAGTAGCATCGTTGCAGCTGTTGAAGAGGGAGGTTCTTATTCCAGCTCCCGCCGACTGTGAAGTGCGGTCAGTGATAACGCTAAGCCGCACACGGCTCGACGGACAGCAAGTCTCCTGCAGGAGTTCAGCTGGGAGGTGTTTAATCATTCACCCTACAGCCCGGACCTCGCTCCCAGTGATTTCCATCTTTTCCTACACCTCAAGAAATTCCTGTCCGGTCAGCGTCAGCGTCAGCGTTTTGAGAATGACAGAGAGGCGGAGATGGCTGTCACACAGTGGTTCCAATCCCAGGCGGCAGACTTCTACGACACAGGTATTCAAAAGTTGGTCCCACGGTATGACAAATGTCTCAATTCCGGTGGCGAATATGTTGAAAAATAGCTGGACACTTGCTGTATCTGTTGCAATAAATATTTCCATGAAATTGTGTTTTGTTTCTGTAAACAGCCCCAGGGAAACTTACTTTGTAGACCAGCCTAGTAACTTACAGTGAAATGTTGTGATTTTTGTTGTCACCACCATCTGACTGTCACTACTGTGTTCTATTCAGAATGTGTATGAGACAGGCATCAACAAACACTAATCAAGAAGGGGGTATGATGTTGGCTTCCTGTTGGTTGAGGGACAGGAAGTACCATTGAGCAGTGTTCGCACTATGCCTCCAACTTTACCACTATGAGGTTAATCCCATTAAGCTCATATGGGCACTGTCATGTGACTGTGAACTATGCTTCTCACTTGCTTGTCTGTGTTTGGTTCTACTCCATACACATTTTGAACATAACATTTTGCTATTACTGCAGTTTGCATGTTTCATTTTTTGATTTGTTGTTGTTGGTATGAGTGATCATATTTTCAGTAATGCCATTATGTTATGGAAGGCAATAAGAACAAATTAACATAAGATTTATTAAGTAGGATTTGAAGTTTTCATAGCTGTGCATCAGAAGATGGCTGTCTTCTGGGTTGTTCTGCCATATAGTTTGGTAGAAGTTTCAGAGATCCTTGCTGCCTCCATCATCTGGGTGGTGGGTCATCGCCCTGATGATGGTCTACGCGGCGCAACAACCCAGAAGACAGCCATCATAAGATTTGCTGTTTATACGAAAGTCAATGCATTTCTGTCAAGTAATTGGCTTGCAGTGTGTATGTAAAATTATCTGTCAGTGTAAATCAGTGTTTATTTTGCTGTTATGGGGTAAACTAGAATGATCTACCTAACATTAACAAGATTATGTAAATTATTATTTATTCGCCTGCATCAAGGCTAACTCGTGGTTCAGTTGGCTGTATGTCCCAGTAGCATGCTGTTCTTTTGCTTCATCTTTGCAGATGTTCACATATAATATTTTGATGAAATTTAGAATGGACGACATGCCAGTGAGTGTTGCCCAGGAGCAAGATTTTCATTTGCCGTTTCACATCACGCCACACGATGACTCCTTGAGCCACATGCCTGCCAGTTCATTCATTGTCTTAAGTGCCACTTTTGTGATCAGAATCTTGATTATCATTATCACTAGATTCTATTTCTAAAAGGTTTTCATCCACGTAATCCAAAATTAACACAGTATCGTCATTGCTTTTTGCTTTATTCTGCACCATATTGTTTACTAGGGGGATCATATTAATTTATAGATCTTTACTGTGTACTTTGTCATTAGAATATTTTCATGTTACACTTCACTGTACTGATGTCTAGACTTGTAGTACATGTAGAGATTTGTATGCTTGTGATATCTAGTGCGTGTTTAACAAAGCGTTTGAAAGAAACAGCTGTATTTTTTAATTCTGAATCATCACTTGTGTTGCTGGTACAGGATTTGCTTGAGAAGCGTTATCATATTCTAAATGACACCTCATATAAGATTTCATTAAATTTGGATGAATTTATTTGGAACAGGGACATGGTTTTAAAGTATTTTACTGAAATTTCCTTATCCCTGTATTTGTTATTCTGAAATATTTTTCCATAAGAATATATGGTAATTTAGTAGGGGATGAACAGTGTTTGTGTTATCTTTAATTTTATTAAATTGGCATTCATTCTACTTAGATTTTACTGTTTTTATTTTTTAATACTGGCTTATATTCATAGAAGGTTTATGTATTGGAGCTCTTATTTGCTTCAGGGGCGGAGAGAGCAAGAGCTACGTGCTGTACCCAAATGGAGGAAGTATTGGAAACTGATTCAGCGTAAAGATACTCCAGAAATGCGAGAAAAATTGGATTGGGAACGTAGATTTCTGCAAAGGATTATGGTCAAATTTATGAAGTTACTAGAGTCTGTAGAAGTGAAAGGTTGGTATATTTTTATGATAATGTACTGTATTTATGTAAATACAACATTAATTTTTTTCTCTAAACCTTTTACGTAAAAATACTGTTTGTTATTATAATTAAAGATTTAATTTGAGTAGCACAGAGTGGTATGTGCGAGAATATACAATACACAGCAGTTGATTTGGCACACTGTTCGGTGAATTAAGAAGCTTGGCCTTCAAACTTTTCCTCTTGTAGCAAGACATATGGAGCAGGGGGTATGTTGTCAGTCCTCGCTGTATTCTCACCTGTACCGATTCGTCATTCACAACAGGTTTTCGTTGCTGTTGAGGTCAACTGTTATTGTTTTGTCCATGTCAGTTTATTGAGCATGTGAACTTGACTTGGTTTGTTGTGGCTTGGTTTATGCAGTGGAATAGCAAATCGAGTGTTTGCTTGCAGATAGGTATTTCAATATTTCCTAATGTGTATGAAGAAAAAATGTTTGTATTTAAAAAGTACTTGTGCCGTAGTTTGGGGCACTGATGACTTGATTAATTCAGACTGCTGTGAAGCATACCGGTAATTGTGAGTATGATGTCCATAACTTTATTTCCCCAACAGTGTTAGTGTTTGTTGGGTGAATATTGCATTAGTTGCATGCGATTCAAAGTTTTTGTCAGCACCGAGTGCCAGGTGTGGAGTATAATGACTCTGGAAAACCATGTTTGCATGGTATATCAAGGGCTGGAACTTGACTGGGTTCTCCCGGACTGCCAAGATTTCTCTCATCAGCTACATAAAAAGACTTCAGAATAATGTGGAAATTAATGGTTTCTAGAAAGCATATTATGAAACCTAATAGTACGAGTATTTGAAAAGTCACACAACATATATTAACATGTTTATTGATGGTTGCAATTCACTTGGATTAATAAACACACAAATTCCTGTGACCACACAAGAGCCTACACAGGTCACATCATGTCACGTTGTAACCTGCTTGTGCCAGTCCATCTTTTTCATGAGTACAGCAAGTGTTCAATGTTGAACATTACATGACATCTTTCCTTCCTTTCAGGCTTCACTGCATCTGCTGTAGTGATTAGAAGCGATATCTTGCAGCAGAGATGAGAATTATAGAATTGCTAGTGTGTAGATAAGGAGGCCAGTAGTTAGGCCTGTGGAAATTTTAGCAAAACTGCTAGCCGACATATCGGCCATTTGCCACTAAAAGGGCTAAATGGGGATTCTCCTGCATAAGACTGTAAAGAGTGTGTGGGACTTTCTCAATTTGGTTATAGAATGTATGTGTGTATGGTTCTCAACACTAAATATTTTCACTTTGAGTAGTGTTACTAACCCCATAATAGAACACGAGTAAAGAGCAGCTTATTTTTGGTTTGTTTTGCGTTGTAGGTGAAGTCGGCAGTGAAGTGGTTCATTACTGTGAAAGGTTTCTGGAACTAGTAATTGATCTAGAAGCCTTGCTGCCAACACGTCGTTTCTTCAATACTGTGCTCGATGACTGCCATTTAGTGGTTCGATGTCATCTTTCCAGGCTTCGACAACTAGGGGAGGGAAACCTTTTCACTCAGGTAGGGAACTTCTGTTTGTTTTCTCAATCTAGCATTATATAAGTGTGTAACTATTTATATATTTAACTTCTTGTAAATCTTTCATCACAACCTACTTCAGCCAAGATGCCAGTTGAATATTTTACTATCGTCTTCCCGTCAGGGATCGAATCCCGGTCTTCCAGTGTGTGGTCAGTCACTATACTGACAGCTCTGTACAGACAGAATGTACCCATCCCTTGAGTAAATAACACCAAAAAAAACATACACCAAATGTAGTTAAATGTTATGGTACAAAAGTTTATTTAGCATACATATAATAAAAAATACTAATATACAATCTTTCAAAGATCTGTAAAGTCTCCCAAAGTATCTGAATACAAATTCAGTGAGTTATAGAGATTCGTGCAGTTTCTTAGTATCACACCTGTTCAGATTATGTTAATCATTGTAGGAAAATTATTTGCAATGCACATCCACACATTTTGATTTTTTCCTTAAAATAATGCCTGTCAATTTAAGTGACAAAACGAAATAAAATGTCAACTGTCACAGCATGTTTGAACTGGATGTATCACTTTACATCAGCATTTAAGTACTCTAGAAATTATGACATCAGTCAAATGGGGAAGGCAATCATTTCATGTTTAGAGCACATAAAATGAACTTCTTAGACTAGGACGAAGTACTCATTATATTAACTAATACTCAGTTGTCACTAGCATACTCAAGATTAGGCATTTAAGTTATGAATGTAGTCGCAGGCTGCCTGTTTTAATGCACAATTATGGCATTGAAGAAATAGCAAAGTAGTGAGTCAAATGATACATAAAATTTCTTCTGAATTTCTGTCTACTAAATACACAGAATAGTATTAAAATATATTAAAAATTGTCCATCAATCACAATAAAGTAATATAAGATAATTAGATGGTTAAAATATTATCCTTTGTTCCGTATCGAGTACTCGATTTACATATGGAACATTCTCGACATGTTTCGGCTTTCATAGAGCCGTCATCAGGTGTATGTTATAAACTCTTAATTCAATTACTAATTTTTAATTTTCTTATCATTTCTTCGTTTTTCTTGTATCAACTTATTTGATGTTTTATATAACATTGATGTAATCGTATTGTCGGAGTGATGTTAATGCTGCGTATATTGGTCGGAGAAGTAATATCGAAGTTGTAAGAGGAGAGATCAGAAGTACATTCGTATCGGAGCGAGGTTGGTTATCTTATAAATACGCAGAATATAGCTCATTTCAATTAGTGAAAATGGGATATGTAATACAGGGTTATATTAAGGGCTAGCCGGGGTGAAGTGGATAACACATTATTAAATGACACCGAAGTGTTGGATTACTGATTAGGATCCCTTAATTCTTACCTGGATATTATTATTAGATGTACAGTATTCTGAAGGCCTGTACACATTACACTGGGTTGCTTTATAATACTGTTTAAAACTGTGGGATATTCTTGTTGTCATGAACTTGAAAGTTTGATTTTAATTTTACTTTGGAGAATGCTTGCAAATTTCTAGTTAATACAAAGTAAAGCTGTCTCTGGTACATGCTGCAAAGGCACTTGGGGTAAATAAAGGCAGTATGGCTAATACTCATTCTTGACCTCAGTACTAGATGGGGTAGATTGTCAGCTTTATGCCAGAACAGTATTTTACCCCCAGAGAAAGGAACTCCAGTATCCTCTGGATAGGAGGCTGGGTAGGCCCCAGAGCCAGTTCAGACACAGACCAGAAGAAAAATCCTCTGCCCTTGCTGGAGATCAAACCTCAGTCATCCAGTAGTTATTTTATGGAATTCAGAAACAATACACTGTATCAGAATCCAAATGAATACAAACAGTTTAAGTATTAAGATGGCTGTCTTCTGGGTTGTTGTGCCGTGTAGTCTGGTAGAAGTTTACCGACATTCAAACTCGCTGCCATGAAAACCTCAAATCCTGCATAGTTTAAGTATTCAGAAACCAAACCAAATATGTCATGCCTGTATCATTTAAAACATTATTTTTATACCAGTGGCCAAACATTATTATATATTTTTATGTACAATCTTCAAATAAATCTGGAAACAACACAAATGCTTACATATATAAAAAGCTGTCATTTTATGTGCTGCTATGTTCTTTTATTGAAGAATTTTTCTTACGTGCAGTTAAGCTTATATTAAGTACAAGAAGAGAATAGTGCAACCCATTTTTTTTAAATGAGGGTCATAAGTACTGCCACAGATTCATAATATTGTGAATAAATTATCTCTCTCCGATTAATACAAGATATTCCTTTGGATTCAGTGTATAGATCAGTGTATAAATGTTGATTATAAAGAAGGCTGTGACTTGTGAAGATAATGAATTAATGGTGACTGAGTAAGAGGGTATTTTGGGTCTCTGACTTTCATAATGCGATGTGGTATGTCAGTAGATTATCGGAGTATATTGAGTTTAACATATGAAGGCACAGAAGGCAAGAAGTATAAAAATTAAATCCGTCCATTGGGGTGTAAGCTGCCTCTTTAAATGCTCCCCAAAGCTAACACAGATACAGCTGCACCCATAGGTAGTTTAAAGGGTTGATGGTGTAACTACTTCAATTAAAACCATGTTTATATAACATGATGAACAGACTTTTACTCTTCATATTTAACTATTGGCTGTCAATTAATTTTTGAGGTACTCTAAGTATAAAATTAGTTATTTCTGTATGCAAAGGTCTATCAAAAATATATCAATATTTTCAGTAAGCGACATTGTACGATGTTCAACTTATGCCATCTGCGTAAGTTTCCTTTAAACAGTTTGTGGATTGAGGTGTCTGTAATTTTGTATGAGATTAAAGGTTTTCATGCTGGTGACAGTTCAGGATTTGGTCTTCTGGGTTGTGGCACTGTACAGATTTGTAGACGGTTAGAGTTTCAGAGAAACGTGCTCCCAACATTCTCAAGGTATGATATTTTGTTTAGCACTTTTCATGGTATGCTATAACTTCACTATGTGCGAGGTGCTGTGAAAGATTAGTGCCAAGTATCATAAGATTGATAGACTTTCAAAATGCCAAATGCAACGGATATACAAGGAAGAAATACGAGTTTGAAAGCGATTCATGTCACAAGGAAAGTGTTGTAGCAGTACGGTATAACCTGTCTGGAAACAGAAGATTCCTCTTTAGACAAAAATACCAGTGCTTATAAATCAACTGTGCATGATTATCAATTATAAAATAAGAAATGGATGTTGAAATCCATTCATTAAGAGTAAAAAAATGTTCTCACTAATGGACAGAATACTGGAATAATATAAAATTTCATGTTGGTACTGAACAAACAGCATCCATAATGCTGCTTCTAGCAAACAGCTACATAACAGTATCTGCAGTGCGCTCAAATCAACTCAGTAGATAGCTGTATGCATTGAGGACATTTCCTCACCCCATTCTACTGTGTCAACTGGTTCTGATGGTTGACAGCAGCAGCAACAAGCCTGGCGTAAGAGGAATGTGACTCGTCGCTGGCCCAGAACACAGATGTAGAGAAACATTAATGCTGACAAAGCATTCATTACTGTATGACAATAGATTACTGCTGGATAATGCAGCCAGGACAGCAACAGGAACAACCAAGCAACTGCCATCACCAGGAACATCTTCACAAAGAGTTCAAAGCTGTGAATACACAAATAAAAAAATTACATAAATTTCTTATGTCTACAAACCAATTTTGTATTAGAAGCATTAATAATTTAAAAGGTTTTCAGTCCAAAATTAAATGTTTTGATACTACTGTATGCAAGACTGATAAATTATCCAGCTTAATTTGTGCTGCAGAAATGATAACAGAAAAAACTGTTAATTGAAACATTTTAATATCACTATTTGGTACTGGCAATTAGTACCTTTCACATCTCAGTTGATGCCAAATAATCTATGTAGCTGATAAAGCTTAATTAAATAATCTTAAATGCACTCTTCAGGAGGAACTTGTAGAGAGAGGATAATTCAATATAAAATACAATAACTGAGCAAGATTGCTTCACAGTCAAAGCATTTAATGGTGTGCGAAGTTTGAATCTTGGTGGGTGTCGGCTATCCTGACTGATTCTTCTGTAGTTTCCCTTGTTTTCAGAAATACAGTACCTTCTAGGCAGTTTTCAGAACTGGTCAACCACTTTCTTCTATAACTGGCAATATAATTTATCATTCATAAGTAAAGTAAGGTTTGTCCCGCTACGTGCTGTATAGGCGCTTGGGGTGAGTGGAGGAATATCGCCTCTTTCTTGACCTCAGCACTAGATTGGGGTGAGTGGTCAGCATCACACCCCGAATTTATCATTCATATCACTCATTAGTCCTTGTTTGGTGCTAAATAACTGCCTACTTTTGCAAAAGCCCCCCCCCCCCCAATGTACACACAATTTTACCTAACTGTTATGACCAAAAGAATAATCAGTGTTTGTAACCATCTTCCTCTGTCACACAGCATTCGTGAGAAACTTCCAGTTCTGAGCCCTGGTCCTTCTATTCCAAACTGTTTTCATGATAAATTGATCAGAATTTCACTTATCCAGCCTTGCCCCGAAGGTTTCTTTCTGCATTTAGTTAGATGGATTCTCTTTAACAGATGTATTCTTGCGCTTTGCAGTTCTCTGTTAGAAACTTGTTCCAGGTGCTACTTTGTACCTCCACAGAAGATATTCCTTTTTGAATTACCTAAGTTTTACTGCAACTCAATCGAACATATGACTCGGAACAGCTTCATTACCTGTACTTCATTTTATGATGGATTCTGCCATACGTAGACATCTGACTGATAGCATGTCCTGTTGTCAGGTAAAAGAATATGTCCACCAAAACTGTGAAGGCAACAGGCATGACGAAAACTGCCTTACCAAGCCATCCTGTCAAGATAACAAATATTTATATTTGAAATTTTGTCAATTCTGTGAGATATGTGGTTTCACTTAAAGATAAATATGCAGTGTTTTCGATTATATTGACACTTTAATATTGTGGTGATAACTATGGTGTCGGAACCTGGCATATATGGATTCCAAGTTAAGCTCTCATTTATCTGACTAGTAATGGAGTAATCAAGATACCATAACAGAAGAAACACTTTAATGTGAATAAAGTTTTATTGTTACAGTGACGAAAGTGATCGTAAAATGTGCAAATATGAGAAACTACATCCTGGAAACAATGAGCAGGAGTAAGTTAGGCTGGTTCCAGACAATGTTGCGTACCAATATCAAGACAGAATAGGATTAAAGTACAAGAAATTTACAAATAAACAACTACTGAACAGCAAGATTCTGTCAAGATGTTATGGTTACTGTATATAAAAATTATTCTCTTACTGACAGCAAAATTATCAGAAATATAGTGAACTAACCTATGGTCTTCTGTGTTGAAGGTATCGAGCCTGTTGGATTGTTTGTATCCAGTATGAAATGTGCAAAAAGGGCAATGCTGGTCATCATAAATGTTGAACCCCATGCATAAGAAGAATAGTAGCAGTATTTTCGACCGTCAGTTACCCGTAAAAACACATTCCTTGACCTGAGAAAACAAGTACTTTCAAATATTTATATTGAACACATTACATTTCAACTCAAAGTAAAGAGACAGAAAACTTAACAAAATATCTGCATCTGTTACATCAGCTATTTTTATGTAAAAAGTACTTTTTTTTCTGATGTAGGGGCAAGCCACAGGGTCAGAATGATGTATCAAAATGGAGTTACAAATTCTGAAAGTATTACAATAGCTTAAAGCTTAAAACTGACATTTTACACACTAGAGTATCTGATTGAATTACTGTGGGTAAGAACAGACATACCTGAATGTTTTCCAGATGTAATAGCCCAAGCTATTGAGCCAAAAGAAAGCTGCCATTAGGCTCACATACATCATAATGTCTAGAAAAATAACCCAAAAGTCATGTAAAACAAATACAACTGAATCCTGCAGAATGACAAATGTATTTAAAAAATACTAGTCTACACAGCGCAACAACCCAGAAGACAGAAATCTTCATACTCTGATGACGGAGGCAGTATGACCTCTGAAACGTTGGTAAACATCGACCAGACTACACAGCGTAACAACCCAGAAGACAGAAATCTTCATACTCACCGCTCAAATCTTACAAAACAAAAAAACCCTTCAAATAATGGTGTAGTAACGAATCCAGGTGTCAATAAAGAAAGCCTCGGGTTCCAAGAAAATTATGATGATAATAAATTATTGCTAAGTCATGTACAAAATATGTTACATCATGAAACTAAATATTTACAATTGGTTTAAATAACACACCTGCAACCAGAAAACTAACATGGCTAGTGAATTCAGTGAAGATGCTGACAAGGTTGGCAGCTTGGCTTGTTATGAGGCACAGAGAAATTGATGTAAGAATGTTGCCAACTAGATCTCTCAGTTGAGGCATAACAAAGTAGACAACAGCTATTATGACATAACAGATGATGGCCAAACCATGGCACACAGGATTCACAATGCGACGCATTAGGTATTCTGTGAAGTCCGATTTGCTTGAGTCAATTTCAGGAACACACACAATTGCAGTTTGTGCTTCCAGCTGTCCATGTGTCAATACCACCTGCACAGAAAATAGTAACATTACAATTGTACTAGTCAATTTTGAAGGGTTCTGATGGTGGTGTGTTACACTCGGGATTACTAAATTCTTGGACTTTGTCCATCGTCTGGTATTCAAAAGAACACGTTTCACTTGCGTCCGTTAGAAAGAGCTAATCTCGGTCACTGGACAACATAAGTCAGTATAATTAAATTTATATAAGCACTTGTTATCGGGTTTAGTCAACAGGAGGTAATTTCTTTCGTATAAGAGTTTCTGGACCGAGTCTTTTTGATTTTTGTTTGACGTATTTATTTTTCACTTCCTTTTCTCTCTTAATTTTAGGACTTCTAATGCATTTCCAAATTTCATGAATGTAATTTTGATTTGTTACCATCATTCCCAAAAATGTTATCTTTACCACAGCTTTGAAGGATTTATTAGCTGAAGATATCCGTCTCCTCTGCCTTAATCCATGCCTTCATAACTGTGTTTCTACAAAGGCTGTGTACAGTCAAACCAGCAGCTGGCTCTTAGCTGGTTAATGCATACTTTGTATTTCCATATTTTCTTACCAAGTGCTTGACAGAAAACCAGCACAAAGAGACTTGTGTGGGATTGCATAACAAAAAATTTGAAGGCAATGAACATTATCCTGTATAACAGTTTTCTTCAGCAAGACAAGACATTGAACAAATGAGGAAAGCTATAAACTCAGAAAAACAAATCTTAGACAGTATGAACCATAAATATTAGTTGGGTAATGTATTTCACCATGCCACTAGGTATATATTAATCACTGGACGTACCTTATCAAGACAGTAAGTTCCTTGTTTGTAATCGTAATACCACTGAATATCGCCATCCTCATTATGATGTTCTTGAAGCAAATCATTGTCCCGAGTTATTTCAACGCCCTCAGGATGGGTGACATAGTGTCGAAGTATTCCACTTGGAAGTAATACTAGGCGATCAAGTGAGTCTGAATAATGGTAGATGGACCATAGCTGTCGTGTACACTGTGGTATTCCAATAATCAATCTAAAGCCCGGGAGTTGCACGTTACTTTGTCCATCTTCACCCGTAAATAACGGTGACCACACTCCTGCATCAGTCTCATTACCATGAACGCAGTGTGAATCAACCATCAGTTCGTATCGTTCACAACACTTTTGTACTCTCACCAAATCATGATTTTCTTCTTTATTTCTTAGTTCTTGAACAGCAAGATGCAAAACAATGGTAAATTTAAAATTTTTAAAATTATTATTTTTTTCTCAAAGAAATCATGAACATAATAAACAAATGACTAATTATTTTTAGAATGTCCATGTCTGTATCCTTATGCCTGAGAGGTTCATCAGATTTCCTTCCGATTTGTATAGTCGAACCCCAATAGAGCCCCCCTCTATATACCATTACCCTCGTATTGCATTTATGAAAGACGAAGTACAGAAATTCTGTACATAATTCAAAGGAAATCCCTCGGTAAAGTGCCTTCTGCCAACATCTGTTACAGTACAGGTGTACTGTTAAGCATTTTATCAAGTCTGATATAGCAGCATGCCATTTTGTTTCCACCAGCTGTACACATAACTCCCAGGATTATTCAGTTGTAAATATAAATTTATAGAAAAAAATTCTGCATTAATAAATGAAACCTACTTTGGAAAAAGTGAGCCAAATAGCTTAGTCAGTATAATGACTGGCTATGGGCTGGGAGACAAGGTTCAATCCCTCACAGAGGCAGAGAATTTTCTTCTAGCCTCTGCGTCCAGACTGGCTCTGGGGCCCACCCAGCCTCGTGTCCTGTGGGTAAAGCATGGCCAGGGCACGCTGATGACCACTCACCCCCTTTTAGTGCCAAGGTTGAGAATGAGTAGGAGCTATACCTACTCTCTCTCCCCTAAGTGCCAACACTGGGATGTAACGGGATGGTTTTACTTTTTACTCTGGTAAGAAATCATCTATACCTCCACTTGGGGGGGGGGGGGTGCTTGGGGTCATTCACTCACTCTATGGTGCAGGATAATCTTTGAGACTATAAGATGACGTTCATTATGCTTAATCAAAATTATGTAATCAGTTTGCAGTTACTACCTTGGTTAAAGGTCAGAATCAAATTCTTGCAAACTTTCCAGATGATAGTGTAGTTGCGTCATATTGTGATTTATTAAATTAAAATTAAATTATTTGGTTATTCTGTCAAATCACAATGTATTTAAAATAAGATAATTAAAATAATTAAAATATCATTCTGTGTTCCATATCGAATAATCGATTTACAATTGGAACAGTTACAACATGTTTCGGTTTTATTAAACCATCATCAGGTGTAAAATTATATTAAATTTAAAACTCAATTACAATTTTTTACAGTTTTTCATAGTGTAGTTTTTTTAGAGGTCGTGTTCAGATATTTTCATATAATGGATCAACTTTATTGTTTGAAGTGATGCTTTGATGTTTATATCGGTCAGAGATGAAATAGTAGACAACACAGTTGTGTCTGGAGGTGATCCAGAAGTATTACCGTATCCGATCAAGGTTTATTACCGAGTTGTTATGCTTTGCATACATTAACATCTTGTTTTTATTATAACAGTTTGAACAGTAAGACTAAATATTTTTCATCAAAACCCATATCAATAATTTAGTTTTTGTGAGTATATTCCAAATGTGAAATAAAAAGTGTGATTTTTGTTCATACTTTCAGAAAAAATTGATAGTGGTTACCATAAGAGCTAGTGTAGAGCACAATAACATGTGCATTAGCATGTTATTCCTGCTTTATCCCCACTTCTGTGAAAGTTTGTCTGTGAGAAGTATGCAGTACATGCTGCAAACTGAAAAATTATTCTTTTGACAAGAGCCTGCTTTATAGGATAAATTACACAATTTTTGCTGATAAAGCCCAACAGTGTTTAAATGAAGAAAATGAAGGAAGATTTACTTGAATATAATTTTGACATAGATTCAGACTGTCAAAATTGTAATGAATTCTTCTCAGGCTATCAGCCATGTAAGATGGTTAATGTTGGAAACACCAACATTTTGAGAACCATCTTCATCCTTTTCCTCAGGGTACTGAAGTTGTGGGAGCTCCTACAACATGTACTTATACTTAGTCGCCATGAAAGCTTCAGATCATATATGTCAAAATTGTTTCCAGCATTGAATAAAATGCTACAAATTGGTAGCACAGGGAAGATTCAGAATCTCTCAGCAATGTGTGGGACAAACTATTTGTGTGGAAATGACATAAATTTATGTTGGGAATCAAGAGCCCAACAAATCAAGATGGACTCCCAGTTGAAAAACAATTTGAGGTTTGCCAATACTAAATCTTCGGAGCACTTTAAAAGCTCTTTGATGAAATTTTAAAATGGGCGTGCAGTTGGAGTAAGAGAGGAACATTATTACCATCAGAAGAGGATAGAGATCTGTTGGAGATCCATTTTTACTTCCACTCACAACTGAAAGTTAGCTTCATTGCGTCTCTCAGTGGTGGTACAACTCTAGAAACACTGAATACATTTTCATGAAATTTCATGTTGGAACTAAAATTTGTACACACATTCTAATTTGAGTTGCAGTCAGACAACTTTACTTGAAGACCTCCTGTGTAAGAAAATTACTTTGGGGGAATCCCTAGTGTCCGCTGAAGTGGGGATTCCCCCGACGTCATCGCGTAGGCAGATAGGAACCAAATACTGCACCCTTGCGAAGGCCAATAACCTCGGACAATTGACGTCACAGACAACATAAAGATGCCAAATTGTTACTCTGCATACATTTCCGAACTTCCCTATTTCTTTGAGTGTGAGAAGAGTCAGATTATCTCAGATGGCAGGAATCTGGCTTTGGCTTTGAAAGGGTCTGTCAGACTGGCATTTGTAATTGAAAATAAAATACCATTATTTCGGTTTACGCAATGACCTACCGGACTGAATTGTCTTTATTGTTTTTGAGGTTATGGGCGGAGTGAAACGTTTAGGAGCGAAAATAAATATGCAAGACATTCAAGCATAACCATTCATCATAGCACACAGAAATAATTAAGTTTACCTTCGATCCCCATAACTGCAGGCAAAGTAGTAAACAGGGAGGTATCTGCTAGGAGACATAACGTCCCTAACATTAATTTTAGATTGTCTCCGACCATTGCACCTTCTTTACAGCGTGTTTTTGTTATCACACATAAAATAGCTTAAGTTCATACAGCTTCTTGTCTTTGTTGAGAAAACGTCCTTCGTAGTGTAAAACTTCTTTCGTTTCCGAGGCGCATTGCCATCTACTACTCGATACTTAGCTGAATGTGACGCATGGCTTCGGCGTGCACAGATGACAGACCTTTCCAACGAGTTTGGCTACCATCCACGAATGACTACCGCCATCTATGCAATGTTGTATGAAACAATTGAAGTGAATATTCCGTTGGGTGGCTTCTTCGTGTGTGTTTTTTTTCTGCACGTTACTTTTCGCACACTCACTTCACTGTCTGCTCACTTGAAGCGTGAAAAGTGACGTCCAAAAGACGCAGAATTCAATGAGAAAAATTGGGCCTTGTAATAGGGTCCATTACATAGGATTTGAGGTTTACACGGTGGTGAGTCAGAAGATGGCTCACTTCAAGGTTCTTGCGTTGTGTAGTCTGGTAGTATTTTACCAGCGTTTCAGAGGTCCTTGCTGCCTCCATTATCAGGGCGATGATGGAGGCATCAAGAACCAGTGAAAGGTTGGTAAACTACTAGACTGCACGATGCTACAACCCAAAAGACAGTCATCTTCAAGGTTCATTGCAGGTGACACAAATCAGGTTAACAGAAACAAACATGGGCTGCATTCTTCCAGTTTACAAGGGCGAAACTACGGGGGTCCCATGGGTGTAGGGCTGATCTGGATGCGAATTAACAATTTGTGCATCATTTATTTTTCAAACTTCGTAATGTTTTGCTGCTTAATTGTGTTCACACCATTATGGTGTATCACTTTAAACGCCCAAGAAGTAAAAACATAGAAATGGAACAAAGAAAAACAGAAAACCAAGTTAAATTTGCAGATTGTCAAAGGAATCCTTCCCCACTGAGCATATCTTGTAAGAGGAACTGATCGAAACAAAGGTTTTGTAGAGGTGAGGAGTATTTCTGGTCTGTTAGGTATATGGTACAAGAACACATTGTGGGGTTGAGAGTTGTTTCACCATGCTCATGATTGGTTTATTTTAAGGATGTGTAATGCATCAGATTTAGAATTTAACTGGTAATGGCAGCAGCTCTGTGATGATTCTCCATGCAATGTTTGAATCTTTGTAGACATGTGCATAGTTATCCCCCCCTTTTGTAATTTTGTGTCATTGTTTAGTTTTGCACTGAGTAAAGGGAATAGCGTGTGATATGTGTTCATTGACGTAGGAAATACATTTTAAATACTTGGTGAACAACATTCTTCAAAAGTTAAACAAATTAATTGGGATTAAGAACTCTGTGTAGCAGAATCCTTGAGAAGCAAAGCGTTAAGTTTACCTAGTCAGGAAATCCCCTTTCTTTTATGGAACCTGGTGGTTCATTGCCATGAAGAGTCGTCATCGGTATTAATACAGGTTTAATGGCTTAGAAAATTGTATTTATATGTAAATTCATATTTTAATCAGAAAATATGAAAGGGATTCTGGACTGAGAATCAAACTACTGCCTGCCTTTAATGTGTGTCTATTAATAAATACCACGTGTTAATGTGACTGCATTTCTGTGTTCACGGTAAATGACATAATGGAGAAAAAACATTCATATTTTAAACTTGTCGTACTACTTGTACTTCATGTCCTAGCTCATACTGATTTAAACTCACTTATTCAGAACTCCATACATCATTCAAGCATTTATTTGCCCACTAAGAAAAACTCATTATTCTATTAACCATTAAAATCAGAATTTCTTTAAGCATAATGTAATTGTTTTAACAAGCAAGTCAATGTATTATGCATTTTTTGCGCGATGTGTATGAAATGAACACACAGGGCTGGCCATGTTTGTCCACATGATTCAGTTCAAGACCTGCTGGACAGATTTGTATGAAATTTGGGTTTATCCTAAAACCAACATGGCAGGCAAGTGAACTTGTGGGGTGAGATTGCAGTAGGGCTGTTCAGTGGTGTAGGGTGAAGGATATTTGGAAAGTATTGCGTTGTTTAAAATTAAAGTTTTCTGTGAAGGATAACTGATATAATTTATTAATAATTATTTTTAAAAGCTAACAGGTTAAGAGACATTTAATTATATGTCATATGCTATACATTGCATTTACATATTGATAAATTTGTAATACAAAGTCAAGGCCCTCTGAATCTTTGCTTTTTCCTCAACATTCAGTTTTTAATGAACAACTGAATCAATAGCAAAGAAGGACAACAATGTTTAAAATGTGCGCTTACATTTTGGTGAAAATTATGGAAAGTAGGTTACAAATCCTCTTGTTTCTTCTGTTAATAAGTCAAGGTTCTTCTTTCTGAGTGGTATTTATCATACCTTTGTTTATTCTTCTAAATGCTTATAAATTGGGATTTAGAAATTTTGTACAACTTTATCCTTGAATATACACTTGTTTAATGTAACACTTATATTATGTTCAGAAGTCTTCAACATAGCAAATTAGCAACTATCGCCAGATCAGTCATGGTCATGTTCTTTCCAAGCATCTAATTGTAACCAGGCTAGCATCTTTATGGGGTTGAACGCAAGTTTCTGATGCTACAGTTACAGTGTGGAAAAGTACTTCATTATTAAAACCGAATATTTTATATCCTTTTTTGCCAACAAGATATTTTTTCAGTTTATACACTGGACTACCGCCACGGTGGTCTAGCGGTCAGAAAACTAGCCTTGTAAGCCTGGGGTCCCGGGTTCAATTCCCGGTGGTGCTCAAATTTATAACTTGTGTTGGGCAAGGCCGTGGTCTAGGCAACACGGAGTTTTCCTCCGTGGCATCCCAACAATTACTCCACTCACACACAGAAGAAGGCAATTGCAAACCACTTCTGGATCATCTGCCAAGAACGTATATGAACAGGTCCCAGTCCGAGAAAAGGATGGAAGGATCCTGTTCATATGGACCTGTCGTCAGACAGAACACTACAAATAAAAACACTGGACTGTTATCAGAACAGAAAGGATTTATGTCGAAGTGTCAAAGCTGCAGACTTTCTTTTATTCATGCACATAATGATTTCAGTAAACATTAATATGTATCATACAAGAGTTTTGATTATTATTTTATAGCTTTATTTTTATAGATACCGCGAGCAATAAAATGCTGTGCTTTCATGTACTATCATTGTATGAAATAAAGATTTGCTCAATTAATCTAGAACATGTTTCTCTGTGACAGAGTTAATGCACTCTACAAATCATAAAGGATAATTCTTTATACCAACTTTCAGCATGGAAGCATTAATTTTTATTGCAAGGATAACATTATCAGTTAGAACCTTCACCATAAAAAAATTAGTCTTTTTGTGCTCTGTGACCTCTACCCTTAGCTTTTAATCTCGCTTGTGGTTTGATAAGAATTCATACAGTACTGCCCTTTTTTAGGTTTCGTAACTTAAATGGAATCCATATGTACTCGTTGCTTTAAATGCCACTTTAGATAATCCAATTGTCCCTCATTCTACTTTTTGCCACCGGTGTGACATCAACAGTTTCTCGATGAATGAATATGTCTCTAATCTTTACCTTTTGGCAGTTGGATTTTGTTGGCCCAGAATGGACTGGTGGATGGCTTTGGTTAATTTGGTGATGAACCTTCAGGTTCTGTAAGCCAGCTAATTAGTTAATCTTTATACGTTTTGTCTTGATCTCAGAAAGCCATTCTTTTTTATCATCATATAAAATTTCATCTTTGTAGAGCTTGAAATTAAGGGTTCTGAGCAACAGAGGTCATGCACCGCCATAGTAAAATTCATCTGTCATGCCCTGACAACATGATGATAATCTATCTACTATAAAAATTTGTGATTCCCCGTTGTCGTCAACCAATTTGTCGTCAAAGAATGACGTCATCAACAATGTCAATTATAAACTAACAACAATGCCGAGTTTAGTGTCTTACTTAAGATTTTAAAACGCAACCAATCCCCCCCCCCCCCCCGAAGGGGTTGGTTGCTTTTTAAAAACTTGACCAGCCCCTCCGAGGAGCTCCGAAAGGAGCGTTCTGCCCTAGTTTACGAAATTGTTGAGCACTAAGAAAAAGCAACACAGCTCATCATGTGTGCATAAATGGCAAATGGTGTTCAGGCATATCTACTTTCCTGCCGTTGTAAAAAAGAATGCAGACGTCATCTCTCAGGGCCCCTTCTGTCTCTCTATTGGTACTGCTGTGTGATTCTTTAAGTATTTATATCTAAAGGGTTTTTGTTGCTTCCAAATGTTTAAATTTGTGATATATTTAAAACTAATTAGTGAGAACAGTTTAGGATTTAAATATCTTCTATCATACTGAGATTTTTGGTCTTTTACTTCCAACTTTTATTTATGGAAATCCTTTAATAGGAAAAATGATATGCTATATATAGCAGTTATGATCTCCAGTACACATTCTGCAGTAGTAATAACAGTAGAAGGCAGTATTTTATCACAGATGCATTAATGTTCTCAAATAGAACAGGTATTTTTGATTTTGGAAAGGTGTAGGATAAATACTGACTGATATCAAATAAGTCTGTTCCTTTTCATCTGCACTTATTGCAGCTGCCCCCCCCCTCCTCCTTTGCTGGTGGCCTTTCTCACTTCTTTGTGTAACATGCCTCCTCCTCCTTCCCATAACGTGCCTAATACAACTGCCACGTCTCTTGTAACGGCATACTTTTGTAGAATTCACTTGTACTGCAGTGCTTGCCTACACCACAAATTTTGTCTATGTTATTGATCAGGTCCTGACTTGAGTTTGTGAGAGTTCTTCCTCCTCTGCCAGCATTCCTTCAGATTCTTCATCCACTCCTGCAGCCCACCTCTTAGGACAGTTAAATCCCCACGGTCGATTCTTTACGAGGCCGCGAAGCGCTTTCTTGCGAAAGACTACCAGTATTAGGAAAATTATTAATCCTTGTAGGCAGTTCAAGATGTCCATAACTAGCCTGGAATCGTAAACAGAGCAGTATGATACTTTATATGCTGCTTTAGACGAAACCACGTAGAATGAAATATTTTATTTGGGGGAGGGGATTAAAAGTCCATGAACATGAATCATATGTTGATATTCAGACTTGTAAATCAAATGTGCGCATGACACATGTTTCCTTTGCATACACACATGGTTACTTAAAAACAGCACCAGTATTTAGAGTGAAGGTCCGATTGGATTGGGCTGGTACTTTTATATTTTGGGGGTATCTGGTGTATAAATGTTGACCAGAACATGATAGAAAGGAAGCCAAAATTAACCTTTAAAGAATATGAAAGTAGCTAAAATATAAAAGTTAGTCCAAATTTAATTCTCCATTGTTCCATACTTTTAATAATGATTCTATTGTTATTTTTATGCTTTATGAAGAAATGTGTCAGTATGGCATATATACCAGAGAAAGATGCAATATGCGTACATATATGGGAGGGCGGAAGATTATATAAATATTTATGGCATGATTTTTATGAGATGTACCATTGATAGACTAGTGGTAAGGTTAGAGAGCTACTTCTGGCTGACTTTTGTAACGTTAATAGAATGCATACTTACCAGAAACCTGTGGATTTATCCACAATGACAGAGATCAATTCAAATATCCATGGAATTCCCATAACAATAAACAGCTTGAGATACAGGAGACATCTGTAAGAGAAGGACGATATTTAGCAAATTATGTTGCCCCACATGACGGTGACATTTGTTGTTTAACAGTCGCTAAGTATTTTTGTACCGAGAATCATATTATGGAGAATTTGTGCACAATTTATGTTTTTCAATCTGTATAGTTACTGTGGTTTGCGCCAGATTGTATGAAAGTAAGGCTGAGTAGAAAAGAAACAACTGAAATAGTATTCTGAGACATGCTGATGTGAGTGAATTTATTAGATAGATTATGAAAGAAAGATTAACATTTTTTAACTGAATAGAAAATGTGATTCAACTGAAATGATACATTGAAAAATGGAGTAACAAATATTAAATATTAAAGGAAAAGCCAAAAATGAGAAGAAAATAGAAAGACAAATGGATTATAAAATGTGGAGCCAGAACATATGTAGGACCATAATGTCTGACACAGAGGAATAAAATAATAAATTGTTAACAAAGACTTATTACCAAGCTAAATTATACATGAGAATATTAGTGAAAAATCTTTTATATACAGTTGATTTGTCATTTATATTAAAATCATCCATTCACTAAACTAATTTAGAATTAAATGACAAATTTTCAGCATGTGTAATGTGGTAGATACACTAATGATTATTTTGGTGTAATTACCATTTCAGTCTGATAACGTAGGAAGAAACGTTCGCACTACTAGGGAAGATACGAGAGTAAATATAAGAGTTCAGTTAAAAAGCTTTGGTTTATGACCTTATTTTACATAAAGTGGAACACTCACTTGAATCTTAGACACCGCAGTCTGGGTGCAGACTGGTCCCGGCAATCCTTCCATAGGCGCCATGCTGTCCAAATAAAGTAGAGCGTGTTGAGGAAGAGCAGCACTGCCATTGGGCCATACATATATGCCCATTCCTCTGTTTGACCTGCAACAAAACTAAAGTTTATACATTGTGATTGAACAGAAGTTCCTATAGGGGTGTACTACCTACTGCGTATTTGAAAGATAACATCAATATGATGTTAAAAAAACAGACTTAAGAGAACTATGACATATGCTGACGGGGTCCGGTGGAGGGCTTTGGTTAATTCAGTGATGAACCTTCGGGTTCCGTAAGCCATCTGGTTGGTTGGGTCCACTATTTGGGAAGCCTGAGGGGAAGAGGCCTCTGGGGAGACCTAGACGTAGATGGGAGGATAATGTCAGGCAGGAGGAAGCCTGAGGGGAAGAGATCACTGGGGAGACCTAGACGTAGATGGGAGGATAATCTCTACGGGATCTATGGGAGATAGGAGTTGAAGGAGACTGGATTTTGTTGGCCCAGGACAGGGTCCGGTGGAGGGCTTTAGTTAGTTCGGTGATGAACCTTCGAGTTCGGTAAGCCATCTAGTTAGTTAGTTATGACATTACGCTAGTTCTGGTAAACATTGCAAAGTGTCAACATGTAAGAATCTATTCTATGAAAAGTCCTTTATTAATATAATATGCATAATTAATTCCAGATTCTAGTATATAGCAGTAAGGCAGTGCATATAAGTTGTGAAACAGCAACAGCATTACGTTGTAAATGTGCACGAGTCAAATTGCTGTTTGTAAAAAACCCTCTAAACTTCATACTCTTCATTCTAAGTAATTAGCTCACCATCAAACCAGCAACTGGAAACACCAAAGTTTGGTTTGATTATGTTGGCACTTGGTGTATGGTGTGTTGCTAGTGCCACCACAAGGAAGAGAAATGGACCGCCAATTGCAAAGACACAGAAGCTAATTAACAGCTGACCATCTGACAAGGGGAAGTGATGGAATCTGTGAATGTAGGAGAGACATAGAACATTTTCAGTTTCTTCAATAGTTGCAATTTTGTACTGAAGTTTACAGGTTAAAGAAGTAACTGTCGTAACATACAAAACAACTTTAAAAACTCATGCAAAGTATTTTAAGGTCTTCAAGGTTTCGTAATACATAGTTCCAAAATAATTTTGTTTTGCCTGACATCTGAGGTAAAGTACTGGAACTCATGATAAGAGGGGAAGATTGAAAATTTGCAACATTTCAACGTATTTCCATCTGTAAGCACCTTTCTTTAACTTACTCTGTTGGAGTTTCATACAGAGCAATACATAGTATGGCTTCAGGGCTGCAATTAGGTGTAGATGTCATCTACCTAGTTCCAGAGCTTTTCTTTAAGTTATTTATTATATTAAAAGCCATTTCCGAAGAGACGTGTAGGAACAAATCCCCTATAGCTAACAACAGGAAATCGTAGTACCCAGTGCTTGTCCGTACTGTATACATACTTGCTGCCAATAATGAAGTAACTTCTTGTCATTGTCAATGGTCAACTACTTGGAGATACATAATTATTTTATTTGGAGATATTATTAATATTAAGTATTCTGGTTTCTAGTCATATTAATTTTTATATCATATCTTCTTAGAATTGCATAAATAAAGAGAGATTTTGTTTTATTGTGTGGGTGTGGGAATTACAGTTATGACAGTAGGACAAATGCCATTGGCTCCTTTCTTCATGTTATTATAAGCTGATCTCAGAACTGCGACCACTATCAGTGCATGATGGGGGTTATGCATTTTGGCAACCAGGAGGTAATGCATAGAAAAAGCCAGATCTCATACTTCCAAGTGCATCGGAATTGGCACTGCCCCTGTTGTCCAGTGAATAAAAACTTAAAGTGGCAGATGGAATTGAATTTACGGAAGTCATAAGCACGTTCTAATAGTATTAAAACACATTTTTCAAAAGACTGCCATTTTAATTGCTCTTTTCTGTGCAGTTAAAGTAAGTTTGTTACTTGTTGACTGTGAATTGTGTCGCATTCATTACCATGGCATAAAACAGTGCGCTAATGTGGTTGTAAGATACAGTGATTATAAGCTGAAACTTACATAACAGTTCTCCACACATTGAATGACACAACATTCAGCCAGAAAAACGCAGACAACATCCAGAAATATGTGAAGAAGGCTGGAAGAAAAATACATTGTATCAGTTAATTTATTTTAACAGATGTTAATGTAGGAATTGCTGGTCACAATGGCCGTGCAGCCTGAGGCGTAGACACTGGGACCGTGGGTTCGAATCCATCTCAAGGCACAGAAGTTTGTCCGCGTCTTTCTATGTCATGATCTCCTGCGTACAGGTAGAGGCCTTGCGATGGGCTGATCACTCATCCAAGGAGTCCTACCAAATGTCTAAATAGATCAAGGAACCTCCGAAAGGAGGCGGCCACATAAAAAAATATAGGAATTACATCTGATTCAGATTCTTTCAGAAACATAAAATAAGAAAGTTGTGTTTGTTTTTATGATCACGTAATTAAAATACTACCAGTGGCACATCAGTGACAGTGACTTTGTACATGCATTTATGTATAAATCGAACATTATACCTTTAACATGTGTACGCATTCATCATGGGCTTCTATCTGTGGTTATTATTAGTTGTGAATTCCGTTTATAAATGAAGTAACACAAGATTGGCTGTGAGTATTTTTTACAACCGTATGGAATCTTCCTAATGGAAAAATTCTCTAAATTCTTACTCATTTGTGAAGAATACAGAAATTGTGATGATTTAGATGTTTTTTTGGGGGGCTGAATTAGGTTATATTTACTGAATTTATAAAATATTGGGGGAAAGCCTGAAGGTGTTGAATTGCTGATGGCATGTAACAGAACAGATTGTTCGTGATAAATTTAAGAGAGCAAAGGAAGATATGGAATTTTATTTAATGGGTGAATATTGAAGTGTAAAGATTATATATCTTTTTGCGTTGAATTAATTAAACAGATTTGTACTTTAAATATGGAAGTACGTAATCAGCCGTGCTGTTCAATAATATTAATTGCAAAATAACCATCATTTTCATGAAGTTGTCTTCATTGTTTTAAGTTTTTGCTACATCAAGGAAATGGTATATTTCTCCACTGAGGAGCCATTGACAGCAAGAACAAAAAAAAGTAAATAAAATATACTTATGCATTCATTATGTTTTCTTGCATGTCACTATCAGTTTGTAATCTAATCTGAAAGGAGTGTTCTATTGAAATACTGCATTACGTGGATTCAAATCAAGAAAATTCATGGAAAAACACAACCATAAGCAATGATAGATTGAATTTAGTATTAACGAGCTTGTCTGTGATATACCACACAACCGTAAGAGTAGTAAGTGCCTTTACCTTGAGACACGCACATGGTGTTGCTGAGGTTGTGAGATTGGAGCTGCAGAACTGCAAGTGAGATGTAGGCAAGGCAGAGACTGAACATGCTGCACATGAGACACTTTCCCTGCAAGTCACGCAGTTCAGGCACCAGCATATATACGAGTAATGTAACCAGGAGGAAGAATGATGATATAAGGACACATGCCGAATATATAGTGTATTGGTGGTCGTTGGCTGGAACGGCTTCTCCTTCAGGAAAACATACCAGAGCAATGTCCAACGTAGATACTGTTCCATTTTCATCGAGTTTACGCGTTAGACAGAATCTGAAACAGACATGTAATTGGGACATCACAGTGTAGAAAGTTTAACAAATACTCGAACGAAAACCTACAAAAGAAAGTGCTTATTAGCTTCACCGTCTGTCATCTGTCTGGCCGCGTGTAGCAACTCAAGATCGGCTTGATTAGATTTTCATAAAATTTGATATTGGGGAATACCAACTTTTGTCAACATATTACAATTTTACAAAGACGTACCCCCGGGGGTACGCGAAGACATATGTGAAATTTAAAAAAAATATTATTTTATGAATACACTGAATAATCAGTAATGTAATTTATTTAATTTATTTTAGATGTAGATTATATACTATGTATAACTTGAATTATACACCAACAACTTTGGGGGTACAAAGTTGAAGAGAAATTATATCTGGGGGTACGCGAACAAAAAAGGTTGAATACCACTGATCTACAGTACTAAGTTTACATGAAAATGGCCATGTAGTCTGGTAGAAGTTAAACTTCTACTAGACACATGGCGCAACAACGCAGAAGACAGCCGTCTACAGACTCGCTGCCATGAAAATCTCAAATCTTATTAGATATACATGTTTGCTCAATAAGCTACAATTTAGGGCCTCACATTATTAGGGACCTCAGAAAATTAACAGAGGATATGAGGGTGGGTTGGCTCAAAGCCAGTGTAGATACGATGGTGTATCAAACACTCGTCACCTAGCCGATACTTATCACTTTACAGACTGAGCAGTCTACATACTTATTATAGAGGAAGTTCTCAGAGCGAGCTTGTTTTGTACTAATGGTGGTTGGAAAACATGAAGAGGTGAGGTCACTTGGTTGGGTTTGGCGTACAGTCTTAAGCAAAAGGTGTAAAGATGTGGACTGGAATCATCTGGCATGAGACAGGGTTAGTAATGGGTTCATGTGAAATGGTAATGAACCATTAGGGAATTTCTTGATCATCGGAGTGGCATTAGATTCTCAAGGACTGTGCTCTTTGAAGTTTGTGTCAACTGGAGCCTTCACGGACACTGTTGATGCAAAGAATTTTTAAACTAGTTTTAATTTTTTTTTCTATTTAATATCTGAAAAATGTTCACTGTCCCTGTTTTGGAAGTTTAAAAGCACATGGATACATATTTAATTGTATGAGAACAATAATTTCCTATTTTAATCAATTTCATGTATAAATTTCAAGTTTGTCCTGATGCGTGTTAATTTTATGAAAATCGTACATTTCCTCTTTTGCTCATTCATACAGTTTTCTGTCTGTCAGTCACCTCCACTTACGTGTGCACAGACACAGAAGCAGATATGAAATACCAATTAATTTAATGTTTTATTAATTAAAACAGGCTGTGTAAGATGTTACCAGCAAAATCTTTTATTTGTACGTTGTGTACTCATATTTCAAGGATAGTATGTAACCAAAAGTTCCTTAGAATAGTTAAATAAATGCACTCAGCTATTAGTAGCAGGAGTGGCTAGAAAATTACAGGTAAACCTCGATTTGCGCCGGTTCAATTTACGCCGATTCAGAATAACGCCGCTTTTGAAACCAGGAAGTCAAAAAGTGGGAAAGGTAAATTTTGCTACCATGTCTGGTGAGAGAAGTGAATGTGTTGCTAAAACGTCGCGTAGGTCTGTTGCGTTAGAAGACAAGATGGACGTAATGCGTAGAACAGAAGGTGGTAATACCGTACGAAGTTGCCTCCTTCCACTGTGACCACCATAATGAAAAATTCGTATAAAATAAAACAGTCGATGCAACAGGCTACGAGAGTAAGTGCAACGCAAGTGAGTTATAGCAGAAAGAATGGAGAAATTACTGTTGCTATGGGTGGATGACGTGAATGGAAAAAAAACATTCCATTGACTGAAATTGCTATCATGGATAAGGCGAAGTCAATTCTTGAGGAACTTAGGTCGTCAATGTTTGGGTGCCGGGAACGCATATCATTGACTTCTCATTGATTTACATTATAAAAAGAGTTTCAATTTACGCCGGTTCGTCCAGGAACGCGTCCCCGGCGTAAATCGAGGTTTACCTGTACTGCGGTAGAATGCATTCAGATTTCTTATCGGAGGGATTCAGACGATAGATTTAAACACAGAATGCATAATTATCTTAAAGTTGAAATACAATCTGCACAGACAAATTCTAGTGCTGTACAAATATAGTTTTTGTTTTTTTACAAACTGAAAAACTTACTTTTCGTGTTGAATAATATCATGGCCTGACTGGAGATAGCCTGTAACTGGGTCCAAGGTGAATGCATCATCTGTTATAAAATTTGGATCCAATATATATATGCCGGAATGATTGCAATTTATATGCAATCCAGCATCAGGGAACTCATCACAGTGTGTCTTTTCCATATTAAGTAGATTTGATCCAGGACAGCAGGGGGTTGCAGCGGTAACAGCAGTTGCCAACCCCACAAACATCCATGACACTACTGCAAAGCCACAATTAACATAGAATCAGGACGAATAATGAAAGTTGTGGTCTCTGGTAGGCAGGTGCCTCTGTTTCAGAGGAATGTATAGCCACTATCTTCATCTACCCTGAAGATGAACATACCACATACTGTCCACAGATGACGAGAAAAACCCTGCTGGGGGAATTCGTTTCTGGTGCGGTGCGGAGGGAATGTTTACTGCCTGGTGGACTAGAGGGCTGCTATTGGTGGGAAGTGTGATACGTCAGAGTTTTACACTACTACAAAGACTGAAAACATCAAGCAGTTACGAGTAGCGTGTAGTGAGTCCAACTCTAATGTGTTCTGTGGGTGTTGCGATAATATTCTAGATTAAATCGCTGTGCCTCTGTGAGGTTATCTTAAAGCTGTACCCATTAGAACACATGAAAACCTGTCGTCTGTTGTTCGTTCAGTGGTTGCGGAACGAATGCTTTTAGGATGGGTCGTCACTCACCGCGAAATCTTGCGCATGCGCGTATATCGAATTCCTAGCAGGGATTTTCTCCTGGTCTGTGGACTGTAGCACAAACTTCTCTACATAGATAATATTTAGTGAGGTCATGAAATGTAGGAATCACTGGTACAGAAACAACGCTGTCCAACTCTGCTCATAAATGTATTAAATTGTTTGTTTATTTATTATTTATCTAAAATCGCGGTCTGTAGCCATGATTACATGAATGTCAGGGTGATTAGTGAATAACGAATTGAAATGGCTAAGGTAGAAAGTGATCGCGGCGTAATTGTAAGGTCCTGTTCATTGGTGGGGTTACCACGAAAAACTCAGGATGAGACTTGAGGTTCTCACAGCGGTGGAGATTTCGATGTTGGTCTTATGGGTGTGGACTCGTAAGTAGATGCCAGCATTTCGTATAACATATTGTCTCCTTCTTCAGGGTATGTTTCGCTGAAATTGTGGCGTTTTTACCCACAAGACTAATATTTACATCAGTCAGGAGAACTTTTCCCCACGCCAAGATTTGAACCAATGACCTCCCGAATACTGTGGAGTGTTAACCCCGCGGATGTTATGTTCGGTTCCATTTGGTGATGTATTTCATTGGTGTGATTTCTTAGGGTTTTTTTGGAGTTATTTTTATGATGTGTTTTAAAAAGGCAGAATTAAACCTTCGGGTTATTTAAAAAGCCCATTTTCTGACTGTCCATGTGTTTTGAGATATCAGTTTGTGGTTCAGCGCGTTTGATGTGTACCACGTGGTTATTTACGTGAGAGGGAGGGAGATCGAGTGTTGGAGACTTGAATTGTTTTATGATGAATGTCAAACGTGTCCTTGGATGAGTGGATTATGCATGCGTCATTAATCCGTATATATTTGCATGTGTAGGAATGCATTTGGTCATGTTCTTATAGGTGTTGGCGTGTTATCTTGCCATCTGATGCATGCCAGTTCATAGATTCTTTAATGTTTTTCTTGTCATAATTTATCCAGAAACGATTTGTGGCAACTTCTCAGGACCTGAAAAGAAATTGTGTATTAAAATACGCCCCTGGTATAAATCGTCCGGTTTTCCCCAACCTTTAAAAAAAAATTTGATAAGCAAATTTTAAAGTTTTAGCTTTAATAACACCAATTTTAACAACTAAGTTTGTGTACTGACGGAAATAAATAAATATACTACTGAATTAAGCACAAACATGACGCATTTAAACTACAAATTTGATAAGCATGTTTGTCGCAACTCTTCAAAATTCAGCACCTAACCAAACTCACTGTATTGCTGTAAGAATTGTCCCTAGATTAACGCGTCTGGCGAAGATAACCAACAGGAAATTCAGTAAAACAGACGCAAAGTTTATGTTTCATATGCCTGTACGCCGGGGGCCGGTAGTAGTGAAACCAGTAATTTATTCGTTTACGTAATTATCCATAATACTAAAGTAAATTTATTCATATGTTTAATAAAACATCATGCCATGAAAAGCTTGCGTGTACACTCTTAACCTCGGCATTAGATGGAAGTACGTTATTAAAGTGCATGAATTGTTAGGGAAAGCTGAAGGCGAAAGCTAGGTGCGATCGGAAAGTTTCAAGACTGCGCGTATAAAAACCCGTACACTTATCTCAGGTATTAAATTCATCCGTCACCCTCGAAGTAGTTCCCCTGGGAGTGAACACAACGATCCCAGCGCCGCTGCCAAGCCTGGAAGCATCCCTG